CAGCTATCTCCAACCCCAAAAAATCACCAAAAAGTTGTCATCTCTTATCTTGCAATTCTGGTGGTCCTCCTCAATGGAGAAAAGACCTATCTACTAGAGGAAAACGTCTCTCCTCGAAAATCACAAGCATGATGGAGGTATTGGTCTGCGAAACATTAAGAGTCTTAACCAGGCTCTTGTTTTCAAGCAAGCATGGAGGATGCACTCTAACCCGCAACTAAACGTGAGCAAGATTTTCAGAGCTAAGTACAAGGATGACTGTTTTGACAAAGGGCGAAGAGGTGAGATGAAGAGCTCAATGTCTTGGGGAGCTAGAAGCATATTCAAGAGAATTTCTCACTTGCAAGGTGGTCTTAGAAGAACCATAGCTAATGGTGAAAGTATAAAGGTGGAACATGACTGGTGGGTGACTAACAATGTTATCAAGTGCAAGGACAACCAGCTTTGTTCTACAGAGCAAAAACCAGTCTTTATCAGTGAGCTACTTGACGAGCAAGGCAAATGGAAGGTGGGTTTAGTATGGAAATGGTTTAGCCTCGCTATAGCAAAGGATATCCTAGCTATTCACCCCCTTAACCAACTTCAATCTGATGGTTGGGATTGGGGTCCTTCAAGTACGAGGCATTATTCTCTAAGATCAGGATATTGGCAGGCACAAGGTAGCAGCATCAATGGGACTCCGACTTCTTCCTTCTAGAAAAAATGGTGGAAATAAAAAATTTGGCCTAAGCACAAGATCTTTACATGGAAACTGTTAAACAATGTTCTGCCCACGTTGAGTAACCTAAAGAAGAGGGGCATTGACGTTGACACAAATTGCAAACTATGCAACGCGAAGGAAGAGACCACATGCCATCTGTTCAGAGATTGTGAAGTGACTACAAGAATTTGGAGATGTAGTAACCTGGGAATCAACTCGATCGAATATAGGAAGAAATCTTAACATAAGTACTTGGGTATCTAACTTCCTATTATACTTTCTATCCACTAATGACACTCAATATGATACTACCATGGATTTTGTGAGCATTCTCTAGAGTATCTGGTTATCAAGAAATTCTGTTAGCTTTAGTAATTCCTTAGTCTCCCCGCGGAGTATTATCAGCTTGGTGCAACACTAGAAGAGTAGATGGTACGCAGGGACTAACACCAAAATAGGTGGACAAAAGGGTCCAGTGGCAACCAACGACGAAGATGATGACAGGAACCAACGCTACAATTCAAATCAGGCCAATGACGAGTTAGAACACCAAAGGTATACCATCATCATTGATGATGCGTGGAAGAAAATAGGCAGAAAGCATAGCAACGCTTGGAGAACAATTGTTTGGTGGGTAATTAAAGACAGAGGTATTGTAATTGACAGGGGAAAAATTCCTGTTTTTGCTACTTCACCCTGTCAAGCTGAGGCTAAAGCGGCATTAATGGCTCTACAAAGCCCGAGTTTAGAGAGGGACAACATTGTGATGCTTATTGATTCTATGGAGTTTGCCCAAGCAGTCTCGGATAGCAGCAGAGCTAGAAGGGAGATCAAGCAAATTGTGGAGGAAATAAAAAAAATGTGCTCTTTTATTCCAAAGTTTTGTGATTAGGAAAGTAGTAGAAGTAGAGTCTTGCAGCCATAAACTTGCAACTGCAGCAAGAAAGGGCATGTAATTTTGTTTCCTTGATTGTCTAAAACAAAAAAAAAAATTAGTGGTGTAGACATCTACTTTTGGCCTCTTGTCCCGACAGGAAGTGTAATGACGATAAATAAAGTCATCTTCATGTTGGGTCAAAGTGAAGAATACTTATGGATAACTGGTTAAGCCACAAAACACAAAAGACTAGCCCGAATAAAAGAACAAGGCCAATACAAGGTCCAATTAACTAAACCCGATCATAATTAGGCTTAAGCCCGTGCTTAAAACCCAATAATGACGGATTTAGGAGCGTCTAGGTTAAAATTTAAGTTGCCGCGGAAAATGTCGCGCGCATCTCACAAAGTCGCGCTCAGCTGTCGCGTGCAACTTATTCAGTTGCGCGTAAAACTCCGCGCAACTTCTGGAGATGCGCTCGCGAAAGATTTAGAATATCAAAATATTGGAAAATCGAATCTTACCATAGAGCTGCGCACAAGACAAATAACTGCGCGCATAATCCGCGCGCGACTTATTCACTTGTGCGTGACTGCCGCGCGCAACTTATCCAGTTGCGCGCGGCACCTGCTGCGGCAGAACGCTCTTAACCCTAAACCTAATCATTCCCTATAAATAAGACCCTAATCCGAGGCTTAAACACACAGAATATAACCTAAAACGCTGGCAAAATACTTGTTAACTTGTGCTTCCTAACCCTCTTGTCCTAAACACTCACCCCTTTGATACTTTGTTACTACGGTGGAGGTTCCCCAACAAGAAGGAATCCATAAGTATTCTAAACGGAGATCTAGCAAAGAGAAGTGGTAAATTCCCGAGCACTTAGTTAAATCACATTTATTTTCTTGTTTAAAAGAACCTTAATTAATTAATTAGTGTTGTTTGATCACCTTTAAAATAATTAATTAATCAATTCCATATAGCATCTTTCGTTAAATAAAGATTAGAATTGAATAAAATAATTGTTGGTTGATCACTTAAGTCAAGGCGAATATTGTTTATTTTCTTGTTCTTTTCACGAATTTAATTAAATAAGAATAACGACCTTACGATGTAATTCCTACGTGAATTGATGTGTGTAAATAAAATCAACTAACGTAGTTATAGGTATCACGTTTCATATATTGTTTGGTGATGAAATTGTGCAAAAGGAAGAGCTAGTAGAGGCCGCACTAGGGCTAGGATCGCGATTCCCCTCTAAAGGGAACGTTATCTTAGTACCCTCGCTCCCGAACTCATTTCTGGTTTATGTAGACCAATTTGGGCATGGTTAAACTTATGATTCATGCTAAATATCCCTGGAACTCTACTTGGGAGAAAGGCATGAACGAGGTTTATGGGTTTTCCTAAAACTCATTGGCGACTCCTACTTGTTCCTTACAAAAAAGTGTGTATGATAGAATCATTTCTAATTCAAGGTCCCCCAAACAGTCAGGAATACAAATCCTAATACACCCTAACAAGTGTAAAGTCCTAGGATTTTAAAGGGCCATGGGCATTTAAATAGAGTACTCCTTACGATGGGAACACCCTCCTTACAAGTGGTACCATTAGACTATTAGAGGTTCTATCTGAAGAACCTCTAACACCATTAGCGGTTCTATTTAAACTAAGGGTGAGCATAACAAGGTACTCTGTAAAAATTTCAGGAACCGGAACCTGTTGCAACAGGTTACTCAAAATGGGAACCGAAACCTGTTGAACAGGTTCCTGGAAATTGGGAACCGGAACCGGTTCCGATTCAAAGTACCCTCTATTATAATATACTCACTAACTTTTTCGCGGATTTTATAATAAAAAACTGGTTTGTCACTAATTTATTATGTTTGCAACTTGCAAATAAGACAAACTAATAGTAGTTGTCTAACAAATTTAATATATATATTTTTATAATTGTAATTTTGATATTTATTATTTAAAAATTAAGTAAGAATTAGTGTATAATTTGAAATTAAGTGATACTTTTATCAGGTACAGGGTACCCTACAGGTTCCGGTTCCAAAAAATTGAGAACCTGAACCGGAACCTGTTACAACAGGTTCTCCAGTTTGCTACCCGGAACCAGAACCTCTTGTACAAGAGGTTCCGGTTCCGGAACCTGCGGTTCCTAATAGGTTCCGGTTCCGATTTAGGGTATCCTGATTTTTTTGCTCACCCCTAATTTAAACTAGAAACGCAATCAATATTAGCGGTTTAATACCAGCTAGGATTAAAAAAAAACCTAATAACTGAGCTTACGTGGACGGTTCTCCAATTTGCTAATGGGAAGTATTTTTTTTTTGACAAGAAGAAAAGGGATTTCATTAATAAAAAAAAAAAACGGCACTTACATATAATTCCTAAAAAATCAAAAATTCCAACATAATTAAAACTAAATACATCGTAGATTTGATTAACAATCGCCTTAATAAAAAAACTTCATCTGAAGCAATACAAATTGTGAGTTCGCACTGATTCGGCTTGAAATCCACTGATGCGTAGTTGTCTGAGTGAAAATACTCATGTGGTTCTTCGGATTCTTGTAAAAATTATGAAACCCTAGATCTTCAATTTTCACAAAACAAACACAAAAAGAAAATAACTCAAGAGAAAAATCATCATCACAAGGATGAGATCTATTTATTGAAAACAATTGAAAGGTTTTTCGGGCTTACCACCGGTAAAAATACCAGTGAAAACCCCTACAAAGATTCACAACTGAGACCAAGAGGAAAAGAGATGATAGAGATGGAGAGAAAAGGGAGAAGAGAGAAGGAAAACCTTCAAAGAAATTGAAAAAACCTAACAATGGAGGCTAGGAAAACCTTTCCAAGGGAAAAACCCTAAAAGGAACCAAAAAACACTTCCAAGGAGAAAACCTAGAGGGAACGGGAAAGTATTTTTTGAACCAACGTATATACGACATTAGTTTACAATATATAGTATTATTTGCGAAAATTGCTCCAAAAAAAGTGAAAACAAATTAATACACGTGAATTATTCAAAAAAGCAAAAAGAAATTTCAAAAAGTAAAATCCCATCTCCACTAGTCTAGTACTCTAGTCCACCATCATCAAAACACCTTAGACTAAGTTTTTTCTTTTCTATTTTTTTTTTTCTTTGTTTTGTTTTGTTTTTGAGTATTTTTTCGGAAGAATAGACTAAGATATTTTTGGCAAGTAGCACAACTCATACACGGTGATACCCTAAAACCCCATTGGTCCGCAAGCCACAAAAAGACCACCAAAATCCAACCCTTCTTTCCCACTTCAATCCAACGGCCCAAAATCCATCCGAACATTCTAGAAAAACTCAACTCTCCTCTTTTGAGTCTTTTCCTTTCCCTTTCACATGACATAAGCCTATAAATACTCCTAACCCTAACTCTTTTCTCCTCCTCTCTCTCAGCCGCTGTTACAATTCACTCTCTCCTCAACTTTCTCTCCTCAACTTTCTTCTTCTTCCGTTCTTCTACTAACGGAAGATTATAATGGCTGGTAAAGGAGAAGGTCCCGCCATTGGTATTGATCTCGGCACGACCTACTCGTGTGTTGGAGTATGGCAACACGACCGTGTTGAGATCATTGCTAATGATCAGGGTAACAGAACCACCCCTTCTTATGTTGCTTTCACTGATTCCGAAAGGTTGATTGGTGATGCTGCCAAGAATCAGGTTGCCATGAACCCCATTAACACCGTCTTTGGTATGCTCTCTTTCTCTCTCGTACTATTTCATTCTAGATCTGTTGGGTTTAATTTGGTTTGTTTTGAGGTTGATTTTAGATCTGTTTTAGTTCATGCTATTTTAGTACTTGGAATTGTTTAGTGGTTGATAATGCTTATTTGATCTGTTTTAGTAGTTTTTGATGATTTTTGCTTAGTTTTGGAGTTGACTTGAATTTGAACCAGACTTGGATTTTGCTTAGTTTTTCGGATCCGTGTTATGCTGAATTGAGTTGAATTTGAATGTATTAGGTTCTACAAAGTTATTGTGACTTGTGTAAATAGTTGTGTATAAACGCGCGAAACTTAGATTTAAATCTGGAACTGTACATGTTGAAATCAGATCTTGACGTTCTGAACAGTAAATCTGCTGTTTAAATTTAATAGTAATATTTGTTTAAATTTAGGTTGATATAGTTTTAATTCAGTGTAAAAATTTTATGTTTTACTTTTGTTACACACCAGAGTATGATTTTGCTGCTATATTTGGAAGAAATTAGAATGATATCGATATAACATGCTAAACCAGAAAACATGGATCTATGTTTTTTATTAAATCATTGAGCAATTGTGAATGTATTCGATATTCAGCTCTATGTTTACAGTAATGATAACTTTGCTAAATTGCAATTGAGTTATTTAGAATTTAACAAATGTTCTATTTATGGTCTTGTTGCTTTCACATGGGTCACTTTAGTGTTTCGGGTTGGTTAATGATATGAATTAGTGAAGAAAAGTTGATATATTGGTGATTTTGCTGTCTTGCATTATGAAATAATGTGCTGTTTTTAAGTAATATAATTGCATTGTAATGATAAAATAAATTAATTACATTGATAAAGATATTTCTGTGGTTATCGTCGCAGATAATGATGTATAATGTTGTGGTTTAGAAATTAGGTAGAAAGGTTGTGTTTTATACTATTTCTGTTTAGAACTTTTATTTAATTTTCTGCTGTCTGTGCACATCTGATTGGGAATATGGTATGATTTAAATGCAGATGCTAAGAGGTTGATCGGAAGGAGATTTAGTGATGCATCAGTTCAGGCTGACATGAAGTTGTGGCCATTCAAGGTTACACCCGGACCAGGGGAGAAGCCCATGATTGTTGTAAGCTACAAGGGCGAGGACAAGCAATTTGCTGCTGAGGAAATTTCCTCCATGGTCCTTACCAAGATGAAGGAGATTGCCGAGGCTTACCTTGGTTCAACTGTGAAGAACGCTGTTGTTACCGTCCCTGCCTACTTCAATGACTCTCAGCGTCAGGCAACCAAGGATGCTGGAGTTATTTCTGGCTTGAACGTTATGCGTATCATTAATGAGCCAACTGCTGCAGCCATTGCTTACGGTCTTGACAAGAAGGCCACCAGTGTTGGTGAGAAGAATGTGCTCATCTTTGATCTTGGAGGTGGTACTTTTGATGTGTCTCTTCTTACCATTGAGGAGGGTATCTTTGAAGTCAAGGCCACCGCTGGTGACACCCATCTTGGAGGTGAGGACTTTGACAACAGAATGGTCAACCACTTCGTTCAGGAATTTAAGAGGAAGCACAAGAAGGATATCAGTGGAAACCCAAGGGCTCTCAGGAGGTTGAGGACAGCTTGTGAAAGGGCAAAGAGGACTCTTTCATCCACTGCTCAAACCACCATTGAAATCGATTCTCTCTTTGAGGGTGTTGACTTCTACTCACCTATCACTCGTGCTCGTTTTGAGGAGTTGAACATGGACTTGTTCAGGAAGTGTATGGAGCCTGTTGAGAAGTGTTTGAGGGATGCTAAGATGGACAAGAGCACCGTTCACGATGTTGTTCTTGTTGGTGGATCCACTAGGATTCCCAAGGTCCAGCAATTGTTGCAAGATTTCTTCAACGGCAAGGAGCTTTGTAAGAGCATCAACCCTGATGAGGCTGTTGCCTATGGTGCTGCTGTCCAAGCTGCTATCTTGAGTGGTGAAGGAAACGAGAAGGTCCAAGATCTTTTGCTTTTGGATGTTACTCCTCTTTCTCTTGGTCTTGAGACCGCTGGTGGTGTTATGACTGTTCTTATCCCAAGGAACACCACCATCCCCACCAAGAAGGAGCAGGTATTCTCCACTTACTCCGACAACCAGCCTGGTGTGTTGATCCAGGTCTATGAAGGAGAGAGGACCAGGACCAGGGACAACAACTTGTTGGGTAAATTTGAGCTTTCTGGCATTCCCCCAGCACCCAGGGGTGTTCCTCAAATTAATGTCTGCTTTGACATTGATGCCAATGGTATCTTGAATGTTTCTGCTGAGGACAAGACCACTGGACAGAAGAACAAGATCACAATCACCAATGACAAGGGTAGGTTGTCCAAGGAGGAAATTGAGAAGATGGTTCAGGAAGCCGAGAAATACAAGTCTGAGGATGAGGAGCACAAGAAGAAGGTTGAGGCCAAGAATGCTCTTGAGAACTACGCCTACAACATGAGGAACACTGTTAAGGATGAGAAGATCGGTGCCAAGCTTTCTGACGATGACAAGAAGAAGATTGAGGATGCCATTGACTCCACCATCCAATGGTTGGACGGCAACCAGCTTGCTGAGGCCGATGAGTTTGAAGACAAGATGAAGGAGCTTGAGAGCATTTGCAACCCAATCATCGCCAAGATGTACCAAGGTGCTGGTGGTGACATGGGCGGTGGCATGGAGGATGAAGGTCCCACTTCTGGTGGCGGTGCTGGTCCCAAGATCGAGGAAGTTGACTAAGTTATTACTTTCAGTTTTATTTAAAAATATGCAACTCTATTAATTTCTTGTTTAGACAATTGATTTTTGGAAAATGGTATCAACAGTGAGTTAAAAATCACTGTTATTTTGGGATTGTAACAGCTGCATTTTGCTGTAGGACAAGTTTACATTAGGTTTTATTGCCAAGTTGCCAACTCTTATGAAGAAAAATCATACATTTTCACCGGCATATTGAGTTTTGAGTTGTCTTCGTATTAAGTTCTTGTTTGCCATTTTTTCTAATGTTGTTCTGAGCCTACTTATTTTGTCAGGTAAAGAATTGTACTATGTTTTAAATCACTCTTAAAAGCTGAAAAAAGAGCAGTCTATTAATCTGATTATTTGTTTGTCCACTTTGTTGAACGCCTATTTAAATCCCACAAAAAATGACTATTGAAATTTGACAAAATCTTAAAGAGCATATATACTTGACGAATTTAGTACAGCAACAATTTCAACTTCAAACAAGTTGAATTCAGACCTAGATTTTTAAAGAGATTAGAGTGAACCAGTAGTAAAGCTGCCATTGACTGGTTATATTTGTCGGATTTTGTTTCCCATTATTTCAGGAAAATGATATTTATCATGCTGCCTTTTTTGGTTCATTCTCTTCGTTTACCTTTTGCCCCATTCTCTGTTGTGGAATTTATGTTGCAGGACAGAAGGCAATCTGGAAGCACAGATGGATGCATATTGAATGTCAAAAGGCAAATGAGACTTGCTGGAGATGTTGCTGGAACTAGGAAAGCTGGGTGTAGTATTCTCCAGTTATGATTTGAAGCTAAAGCCTGGAAAACCTGAACGATCAGATTGTTTTTCTGTCAAAGTGCGCTGAGGTCAACTCAAACAGGTATACATTGTTAAATTTCATGCAATGATAAATGCATAACAATGATCATTTTTCCAATTGTTAGCCTAGTGTATGTTGTACATTAGTGATTTTTATCATGATTGAATCACTATGGTTTATGTAAATTTTGGTAATATCAGTGCTATAAATATGCAATTCATTGAGTCAGACGGATTCATCCTTAATCTGAATATTTCAGGGTTAAGTGATATCTCATTTTGACTGATCATGTAGGGCTAATAGCATCCATCCTATATTTCCCTTACCCTGCTGGTGCTAGAATATTATCGTGTTGAGCTTGTCTTTTGTTCAATTTTATCGTCTGATCAAGCCATGAGTTACATTGATCAAATACCTAATACTCGATACTCGTATAGAGCTTGTGAAAACATTGAATAGTGTATCTGCTTGGAAGGTCACCAGATATTATTGTGTTGAGCTTGTCTTTTTGTTCAATTTTTCTATTTCATATGTTTCATGTCGTTTTCTGTTTGTAATAGATATATGTCGAAATAGAAAGGTTTCTAAGATAAAGGAAGAACAAGGGCTTATCAATGAAGCTGCTGAATTATTGCAAGAGATAGCGGTAAGTGTAACCGCTTATGTGTATGATTCCTTGTGTGTTTCATAAAATAAATCAGGAGTATTATTTTGGCAAAAGTTGTGTAATTGGTACTGCAGGTTGGAACCTTTGGTGCAATGGCAAAAACTAAAAGGATTGCTTTTATTCTTGAGCAAGTAAGTTCCAATTTTCGAGTTTTGTTTGTTCCATTATCTCTTCTCCTGGCAGTAATAGTTTACTGTTGAAGTTAAATGTTACTACTTTATTGTTTTAGTCGTGTTTAACTGTTGATGATGATCAGAGTTAACATTTGGAAAATTCTTCTGTTTTTCAGGACTTCAGGTTCGCCTATGTTTAGACGGTAATGACTATGTTCAGGCTCAAATCCTATCCAGGAAAAGAAGTCCCGGAATTTTTGATATCGATCCTTTAAAAGAAAAGACGAAACCTAAGGAAGGTGATGCCATTGTAGAGAGGCCCTGCTAAAATTATAATGTTACCAGAATTGAAGCGTATTTATTACGAATTGATGATTCAGTGAGTTCAAGTATCTCTTTAAAAGTACTTCTTAAATTCTGTTCTTTCTAGGATATCTGTGTTTTTGAATTTTCTTTGTTTTTTTCCTGGGGATTATTAGTTTCATTTCTCATTAAGTAGATTTTGCCTGGCACCAATGCAGCATGACTTTTTTGTGGTTACAAACAGTCGTATTAATGTACTTTATTCTTGGACTTTTGTGCTTGGAAAATTTGTGTGTTTCGTTATTTCTTTCGTTGGTATTCGGGAATTCTTTCACACTCTTAAGAGAGATTAAGGTGGTAGAGATAATAGACGACTAATGGCATAATTGGAGCAAAGTAAAACTTGAGTAAAATTTATGAGGTGACTTTTTAGGCTAATCGTCCATGAAAAATTCTCTTTTAGCCGTAAGCTTAGTGGACAGCCATAGGTTCCTTTAATTCCCTTCAGCTTCTGCTCTCACTCTCTAACCATTCCGTGATTATAAATGTGTTCGATTATAATAGCGGTGTTGAAAATTATTGAAACTGCTTTGGGGGGAATTTTACTAGTGGAAATGAGATGTATCGAGAGGAATCATTGATGTTAGGAAGGGTGGAACGAAATTGATGTGTTAGGAGGGAGCGGTGGAAAAGGGAACAATTTCTAGGTTGGAGGTCGGGACAACTTTTCCTTCCATACAAGTGAAAGGATATCAACCCTTAATTATATTTCTCAATAAATCACGCACCCGAAATCTCAAAAAATAATTAGCCCTTGGCATATAACCCCCTGCTGGAAAGCTGACCAGGAAGGACAATTGAAGAATCTTATCAATGCATCATAACTCAACTATCACCCTCTTGTCATAGGAAGAGAACCTCTTGGAGGTAAACCACCGTCTCTCAGGCCCTCGACTGACTGATTCTACCATAGAGGCCAACGATAGACAAATAGGGGACATGATTCACATAGATATTGTAAGTCACGCTTGGGCTGCTTTAATGGTTGTTCATATCAAGCTTAGATGAATTGAAATATTCTTAAAACAATTAGTTTTGTTATGTAACTTTAAAGGTTGCCGTACTCTACTCGTACATTTTTTTTGGTTGAATTTCTGAAACTTTTCTGGTGTTGCTTTTGTGGAATTTGAAATCTGATCTCATTCTTGTCTAGACTACCATGACATGGTTGCTTTTGTTTGTTCACCCTAGAAAATGCCATCCATGCTATTGTTTAGACATTTTTAATTGGAAGGGGTTGATTATATGGGGGGTCGATGAGTTTCTTCTGATACTACAAGCACCACAATGACTACCTTGAAATAATATATGTCGATACCAACGCAAAAGTCGACTAAAGCATACAATGATACAAACTTATGAAGACTTGAAAGTCTAAACGTAAAAGTTTGTACGTCAAAAAATGGTGGGAGAAGTGAATCTACCAAAGTTACATGATTTCACAAGGGCCTTGTAAACAATCGATGCTTTGGCATAATGATTTCCCTTACCAATTAGTATCATTTACCCTGAATCAAGTACTTGACTACATCCCTGATTTCATGTTGTTAATTAGAGGTGTCAATTCGGGTACTTGGATCGGGTTTGATGAAGACGAGTCTAATCGGGTCTATTTTCAAGTCAATTCATAATGCATTGTTGTGTCCATACGAGTCAAAATCAGAATTGGATTAATCCGAGTTAAATCAAACCGTGTCGGTTGAATTTGTTTTTGACGAATCTAATTTTCACAACCAACTTCCCTTGCCATACGAGTTACCATGCCTACTTCAGTACTTCCAATTCTTATTTTGCAAACAAGTTGGCAAGGCCCGTCCGATTTAACATAATGATTTTTAGCATTTGATTCAGCCCGAACTCTACTTGGCCGATCCCATGATCACCTCTCTGTTGTTAGTTAAATTTCTACACAATGTCATTTACAATTTTATCTCTCAATGCACACTTGAATGACAATTTTACTCCTTAATAACTCGATAATATAGGGTATCAACTTGTATTTTCCCTGAAAAAGTGATGTATTTAAAAAAAAATAATTATTAAAATAAACGAGTATCTATAGATTTATATCCTTATGCTACGGGGTATACTTTTTTTTTTTTCGTGTTATTTATTTATTTATTTTTTGAAGAAACAATATTTTTTTTTTTTTTTTTTTTTTTTTTTTTTTTTTTTTTTTTTTTAATGTTGATAAGATCTTACGGAGTAATAATTAGGAAAGATTACTCCTGAATTAATTATCTTAAAAATTAGTACTGAGTTATTAATTATTTTCATAACTCATTTTTTTTACTCATATTTAATCCAATCATCTAAATTCCTAGGAGTTTTTTTGAGACAAATAGGTATTATTAAAGCTATATAGCATCACAATTTTTTTCCCTCTCTGTATTTAGAAAGCAGAGGGGTCATCACAGTTACGTTTCCACGATACTACTTTGGCTTCTTTCAGTCTTCCGCCCGCTCAGCTAGCACATTTACGTTTCTAGGTTTTAAAGTTGAAGGTATATTCATTCATTCAACCCTAGTCTAGATTCATTGCCACAATTAAATCGATTTACCCATTACACAAATCTTCAGTCACTTATATATTATGCCATAGATTTTCATAATATCAATTGATTAATGCACAATTAGGTAGATTAAAGCTAACCCATCATCAAAATTCTGTGTTAGATTAAGGTGAAAATGGAGAAAAAGTTTCATTCAGAGAATGAATCAGATAGGATCTCTGAATTGCCAGAATTCATTAAAACACATATATTGTCATATTTGGATACTAAAGATGTAGTTAGAACTAGCACTTTGTCGAGGTGTTGGCGGGCATTGCCTACTTGGCTTCTCGATTTGGATTTGAGTAGTTATAATCTTAGTACGGCACTCACGAATGAGTGGGAAGGTTTCTATGCTTTTCTTGATCGAGTTTTTGAGTCGAGTTTTGAGGTTGATAAGGTTAAGCTCTATGTGCCGGGTTTTGGGTTTGATTTGAAGTCTCGCTTGGATCATTGGCTTGATGGTGCTGTTAGACGTCGTGTTAAAGAATTAGAATTAGAGATTGGTGTGCGGGAATGTCCTAGATATAGTTTCCCTGAAAGTAGTCTTGTTGTCCATTCAATCACGAAATTGAAGTTGCATAAATGTGAGATGAAATTTTTATTTTTGATGGATAATTTGTTGCCTTCTTTACAAGAGCTCTGTCTCGAAGATGTTTGTTTAAATAGTATGGCGTTGGAGAGTTTACTTGGTAATTGCATTAAACTTAAGAATGTCACTTTAATGAATTGTGATGGGTTTAGAAGAGTAGAAACCTCAGGTCTTACTAAACTTGAGAAGGTGACTTTTGGGCATAGTGTTCATGTGGAATCGATTAAGGTTGATGCACCTAATCTTCTTGAGTTTAGGTACATATATGATGGCGACTCCGTTGGTAATACATGTGAGATAGAGATTGTGGATTGTAAGATTATGAAACACTTGGAGTTAACTGGTTGTCATCTGAGCGACAATGACTTGGATTTGTTACTAGAGAATTTTCCACTCCTTGAAGAATTGTTTTTACAGAACTGTGATAATTTAGTAGATGTCTGACGTTTATGGTCAAAATCTTGTCAAATTAGCTTTTGATAACTGTAGGGAGTTGGTGATAATTAGAAGTTCTACTCCTAATCTAAAGTTCTACACCTATATGGGAGAAGATCCCATACCCTTTGTGTACAAGGGTCCAGCTCTAAAATTGACAAACGATTGCCTTCGCCTACATTCAGACCTTAGAAATGAATATTGGTTTGTTGGACTCATCAAATTACTTGCAAAACTAAGTTATAGTGAAACGTTGACAATTGATGTTGCTTCTGAGGAGGTAAAGTGAAGACTTTCTCCCCCTCACCCTCCTGTAGTAATGTCAATAGATTCTTTTAAGGAGTAAAGAAAATACTATCTCCGGTTATCTGCAACGATTTGACATAAAAGCACAGAGGGAAAATGTCTAATCGTTGCACATAACCTACGGAGGTAGTATTTGACTTGCTTCTAACATTTTTTGGCCTTGTACTGCTCAGCATGCACTTTGTATCGGTTTATTATTACTAATGACTTTTTTAAAAATATATAATCATGTTCTGTGGTTTCAAACAACAGGATATTATAATTCCAGGATGGTTTAGGATATCCCGCCCTCCCCTGTATGCTGTCAAAAATCTGTTGATAGAGTTTCGACTGTCAAGACTTTAGTCTCCTGTTGCAGTTTTTGATTCTCTGCTTTGGCTTGCTCCTTGTCCAGAGTCTATATTCATATCCGACGGTGATTTTTCAGCTAGCAAGTCAATTAAGGTATTTTTTGGAGTCTTTAGTTTGCTTTGTTTAGATCACAATTGATTATTGCAGGTTTGTTTTCATACTGCTGTTCTATATATCCAAGCAACCGCAAATTAACGTGGCGATAACAAACTCACAAACTACCTTCGGTCCAAATTACTCGCAACTTTGGGGTATTATTTGTGAGATATAAAATATTCCAAAGTTGCGAGTAATTTGGACCGGAAGTAGTATATGTAGACACATAATACATTGACTGATTTGCCAAAAAAAAAAAAAACATTGACTGAGATCCGAGACTACGAGGTAGGGGTATTGTGCTGTTGAAGGGTGGACTAGTGAGGCTGATCTTTCAAGTGATATAGGCCTTCCAACTCCAAGTCAATATTATGGCTAATTGGGAAATTAGAATTTGAAAATATCTATTTTGGTAAATAGTTTTGCTAAATTAGCCAATTTAGTAAAAGATCCTTGTTCTTCCAACTATTATTATTATAGAACCTAAAAGGAACAAGGAGAAAATTCTTATAGTATCCAAGTACCTATACTCAAGCTTTAGGCTCAGAAATTTGCATATTTTTATTTTGTTTATTAATTTAACTTAGTTTGCTGATAGCTGTTCCATTAAATTTAATTAGTATGAAGAGTATTTTGGGCTTCGGGAGCCATGTAGCACTAACAATAGTGGATGCAATGCAAAACTCTGTTGTTTTTCATCCGCCTTAACTTTTAATGGGTTATTGGAGTGTGTATTTTCTAGATGCTGGATATTGTATTGTTCTTTGTAAAATTTGGACTGGTGTTCCAAAATGTTGCCTTCAAGTCTTCAGTGTCGTGTATTCAGAAAATATGTTGTATATCATATGCCTCTAATTGACTTGCCCTTCGCACATAATTCTTTTATGTAAGTATACAACTTCATTATGGGTGTATCTGATTTTGGTTCAATAGTTAAAACATTGTTAAATTGGGTAATTTTATGATATCAGTACCTTTGAAAGTAGAAGTTTGTAAAAGAGTAATGATAGTCATTGGTTGTCTGCTTTGCATTTCAGTTTCTATACGATGAGAGGCCATTAAAAGGCAAGAAGAATGGTGGTCGCTGGAAATCCTCCAACTGTTGGCAGCACACTCTCAAGAAAGTATGGATTGAAAATCAGGGAAGGGCCAATGATGATACGGAGCTGGTAAACTTTTTTGAGATGGAGAGGATTGGTGGGAAGGTAGAGTGTATAATCAAGAATCTCAAGCCCTGAATATTGAGCTGGAGTTGATAACGGCCTGTCTCCAGTCCGTCGCTTCCCTCTCATGATTAACTGTGAATGTATGCTCCATTGGTGAATCTGAACCTTAGATAATTGCAGACTTGCAGTCTTGAGTATGTTTTGAACTTCTTGCAGCTTTCATTTTTTTTTTTTTTTAATCTTTTGACATACACGATCATATACATTTGTAGTTGCAGCCTTGCAGGCCATATCTTTTGGTTTTGATGCTTTTTTTTTTTAGCTGGTATTTGAAGCATACATTGATACATGTTATCACTAATTCACTAAGTTAGTCCAAGCACAACATGAATTATACTGTACATGTTAATTTATCATCAAATGGGATTTCCTAGCTACTGTAGTAAGTAACTAAGTACGGAGTAGTAATCACATGATTCAAATTAAACAAAATGACTTGTTTGGAAATATAAGTGAAGTCTGACTAATCACAACTGAACTTCTTTAGCGATCGTTTGTGAATTTAAGATAGTCTTTCTACTATTTTTACAATTAGTTGAATAAAACAAATAGTATTTTTCAACAATTGTTAATTTGTCATGGTTAGATATAAATTTCGATTTTTATTGAAAAATAATAATAATAATAATAATAATAATAATATTATTATTATTATTATTATTATTATTATTATTATTATTATTATTATAAGTACCTAGTATTTGTAAATATTGTTGTAAGTACTGGTATGGAGTATTAAAATATTTATATTTAATAGAGTATATCATTTATACATGATCCAATTCATTTCTATGGATATGTAATTATATTAACTTTATTCAATTAATGCTCAGTAAATAATTTTAATTTAGCAAAATAAATTTAAGGCCCTGTTTGGTAAAGCAAGTGGTAGCGGCTAGTGGGTAGTTTTTAGTACTTGAGTAGTGGATATATAGTTATTAAAGCAGTGAGTAGTTGTCAATTAGTAGTGGGTCTGGGTAAAGCCTAGCTGTCAAAGAAACAGTTAATAGTACGAGTGTTTGGTTAATATTTAGCGTTTATATACTAGTACTAAAATTCATAGTATATATTATGCAAAAAAAATAACCTAAATTTGATAAACGCTATTTGCTATCTTTAAAACGCTATTATTTTTAACGTCTGAGGAAAGTTACCCAAACCCTATTTCTATCTCTAATTGCTACTGAATCACTACCTTGCCAAACACCTTTATTTTTTTTATTTGTAGTGTTTGGTTTAAAAGCTAACTGCGCTGATTCAAGCACTATCGTCAAACATGGCCTTTAGCATTTGACAATGTAGTGTTCGAGGTAGCTTTTAGTGGTGGGGATAACTAATAATATTAACTTTTGAAATTATAGTAGCTATTGAAAAATTATTACTGAATATACTTTTAGGGGAAAAAAAAAATTCAATTTTATATGTTAACAGTCAATACTACTTGCCGAACACTCGTAATGCAATTATTTATTTTCATTGCTTTTTTTTTTTTTTTTTTTTTTTTTTACCAGATAATACTAATATCATTAAATAATAGTCATACGACATTTACAATAATTAAGATACGTAAATCACTTATTTAGAAAAAAAAGCCATAAATTTTACAATTAAAATCATAACTAATTTGTATATTTGGCATAGATCATATTCCACCGCTTCAAGCTTGACACGGGCAATAATTTTCAATATCTTTGCATCTTTTTCAATTAGAGACTTTCGCAATCGGCGCTAATGTTTTAATCAAAAAGTTGATTACAAACCTCAAACTCATAGGATTCCAAATCACCTTCCCAAATATAATAATAACCATATATAAAGATAAAAATAAAAAAAATCTCATCCATGGATGAAATCAAAATCCAAAAAAATTGGGAAAACCCCAAAAAATAGAGACAAGCTCTCATAGATGGAAAGAACAAAACAGACCAAAACGTAGAGGTAGGCAACGTGCCGTGCTGGGCCATTGCAGGTGCCTTGCCGTGCCTGGTGGTGGCTCGTGCCGTGCCTACATCTTGGCGTGTCGTGCCTTGCTAGACCACCATTTAGCACACCTCAGCATGACCTACCGCGTCGGACACTGGGCCACCCATAATATTTTAAATTTTAAAATTTTTTTTTCAAACAACTTTTAAAATGAATATACTATTTAAATAATTTTATTAATTTAAGTTTATGTTTTTTTTATTATTATATTATTATGGAAATTTTTTTGACAATTGCTACCAGGGAAACACCTTGATTCACATTTGCTACCGTTTTATTTTTTTTATTTTTTTACTTTGCTACTGCCTAAATCAGAGTTTATTAGAAATTACTACCACTTAATGGAATCCGTTAAGTTTATTATAAAAAAAAAGCCACCCCTCCTCCTTCCCCTGCCGGCGGCCAGAGCCAATAGATTCGGCCGGCGCCGACGACCTCACCCCCTTCCTTTTCCCCACCCAAGAAGCCAACCCCACACCGAAATCAGCCCCCCTCCTCGTTACCCCCATCGGAGGCGACCCCCCTCCCCTTCCCCCACCCAAAAACCGACATCCCTAACCCTAAACCACCAGCCCAAAACCACCCTTAACGGGTTTTAGGGTTTCGTTCATGGTGGTTTTGGGATGGTGGTTTAGGGTTAGGGGAAGGGGAGGAGGGTCGGTTCCGGTAGAGGGAACAGGGAGGGGGGCTGAATTCGGTGGGGTTTGGCTTCGATGGGTGGGGGAAAGGGAGGGGGGTTGGCTTCGTGGTGGGGGAAAGGGAGGGGGATTGGCTTCGTGGTTGGAGGAAAGGGAGGGGGTGGGGTCGCCGGCGCCGGTCGTAGCTTTGGGCGCCGACCACCGATAGGTGGGAGGTAGTTGAGGGGAGGGGGTGACAGTGGGGTGGCTGGATGGTGGTTTGGCCCCACTAGCGGAAATTGTTACGATGTAAGGTATTGGGTAGTAATTTCTAACAAACTCTGATTTAGGTGAAAAAAAAAACTTAAACGGTAGCAAATGTGAATCGAGGCGTTTTTCCTTGTAGCAAATGTCAAAATTTCCTACTATTATTGTTCTTTTTATTATTAGGAAAAATTGACGAGAATAATCCCAATTTTGCTTCATTCGGTCAAAATAATCCCAACTTTCGATTATTTTTTAATAGTCTGAACTTTAATATCAATTTGCTAATGGTCCTAAGTGACCTTTAACCTGTATAACAGGTAATTTTTTTAAACAAAAGTTTAATATACATGTGTCATTACATGATTGGTCAAAATAAGTATAATTTTTAATCGAGTTGCTAATTAAATCTTAACTAATATTATTAACTACCTATTTAATATTTTTTTTTCTCTAAAAAAAAAAAACAACACCACCTACTAGCGTCCAACCACCTCCCCGACCCCTAACCGCCCAAACCAGGCAACCCGTCTCCTCTACCATTCCCAAACCCACTCCCCTGCTTGCCCCTGCCGTCCCTGTTCCCTCTTAACCACCATAGGCCCACAACGAAATGAAGGAGTTCTGTCTTCGATAAGTGCAATTACTAGATAAATCAAGGATCACTATTATGGAGGTAATAAGTTCGTTCTTTTAGGTCGTCATTATCTGTTGCTAGACTATGATCAATGATCTTTGGGCTAGTCAAATAGTCTAAGTCCCACTAGAATGGATCCTATGAGGTCACACACAAGGGTATTGAGTTAAGCAAATTAGAGGCCCATTTATGGGCCTCATGAGTAAATAGCTAATCATGAATTGGATTGGGCTAGCATAGTTAGATTAGAGTTAGGTTTTGGACTTGGTCATGGACTCTTATTTAGAGATGAGATCTATAAATAAGATCCATGCCTAGGTTTGTATGATACAACACAATTAACAGTTAATTGTGAATCAGGCAACCAAAAATCCCGAAGCCCTCTCACACTCTCTCTAACCCACGACTCTCTCTTTCCTCCCTCTTGGACTCTCGGCCGGCCACCCCTAGTGGCGCGTGTGGTGGTTCATGATTGGTTTGTTGCTCGTTCTTCTCCTTAGAAGGTCAATTGAAGGGTTCAATTGCAACTAACTAGCATTAGTGGAGGTCTTAATCTGTTCCCGTGGACCAAGTAGAGGAATCACGTTTGAGGTTCTTTGTCTCCATTTGTCCTTGTTTGATCACACGTGGAATCACGCTTCAAAGGTATTAATTCTAACTCTTTATGTGTTATGCATGATCTTGGGATTAGGTGCTATATGAATATGATTCATGTTTTCCGCAATCGTATCTATGAACTCCTACACGAAACCCTTTCCCTCCCCCAAAATCCTTAAAAATATCCTTCTCCACCGCTTAAACTGCTCATCGCCCCTCCCCCAACTCTCGAAACCCCTATTGGCTAGGTCTCTGAGGATGAGCGAGGTGGAAATTGGGGGTTTTTGCGGTGGGGGTGATTGATTTCAGGGATTTTGAGGGGGGTTTTGGGATCGCGGATGACGACTAGGAGTAAAGGGAAGGGAGACATTGTTACCCGCTGGTGCGGGGGAGGTGGGTTTGGTCGTCGGTGTCGCAGTTGGAGTGTGTTGCCGGAGAGTGGCTATCCCTGCCTCCCTGGCTAGAGTTGCCGGAAGGAGGTGGTGGTGGTCTTTAGTTAATTAATTGAATTTTCTTCAATGTTAAATTTGTTTTTATAATTTTTAAAAATTTCTTTGTTTTAAACTTTTTTTTTTACCAATTACGTCCTGACACGTGTCAACTAACTTGTTATAACAAGTTAAATGACCGATTGAGACCATTAGTAGTAGATTGATATTAATAAAGTTCGGATTATTAAAAAAATAATCGAAGTTGGGATTATTTTGGGCGAATGAGGGGAAGTTGGGATTTTGTCAATTATTATTACTATCACTATTACTATTTATTATGTTATTTTATGGCCGTGCCTAGCGGATCAAACTACCGTACCGCCCGCGGGTTTGTGTCGTGTTAGTTCCAAATTCTTGAAATCGTGTTCATGGCACGGCTCACAACCCACTCCTCGGTCACCATACCGGGCTAGTCTAATCTCG